TTCAGAAGACAAGCTGATAAAATAAATTTAAAAAATCTGTATTGTTCCATACATAGTGTGTATTGAACCTAAAGCTCTGTTCGATACAGGTACATGTATTGTTGCACCCCTATAATTATATATACATACTGTATATATATAATTATTTATATATTATTTTACCACACATGTTTTCATGAGAGTGAATTATGTCTTGCATATGTCAGTGTTAATTTGCTGGTGTAGACTGTGGGACAATGTGGGTTCAGTGCTGACAGATTTGTTTATTTTATAATTTTGTGTGTGTGTGTGTGTGTGTGTGTGTGTGTGTGTGTGTGTGTGTGTGTACACCATTTATTTGAGGCGTATGATCGTCAAACAACTTTACAAAAAAGGTACAGTAGCCTCAAAAGACGTACATTATTTTATTGACATACAACTTCTGCTTTTTTCTGTTTTACAGCTAGAGTGAAGCATTATATTCACACATGTATTACCAAAACTCTGAATTTTAGGTTTTTAAAGTTAACTGAAAGAATTGTGAGAAGYTATGCTGTCATGATAACATCTTACTCACAGGAAAAGTTTTGGCACTTCAGAATAGAGCAAAACAAGTGAGCAGAAGGTGAGAGGATTGTTAGAATGCAGTAAAGAGAAAGATAATGTCACTTTACCAGTTACCAACTTTCTCACCAATTTATTGTCTGTTTGTTCTGTGAGACATTTTCTTCCATCGTTACAAAGCTCAAGTCATGTTCAGAGCTTTTCAACATAAGTGTTTCATGGTTCTATTTTCCTCTAAAACACACTTGCCTATTCCGTCTGTTCCTGGCATCATATTTGGGTCTGAGAGTGGATGGGTAACATTAAAAGAGCTATCATTTTCTCTCTGTGTCATTCTCCTACTTCATACAYCATTTGATCTGGAGCCAGATATGGCTTTTAGATGTAGGCGTGGACGCACGCTCACACACGTGCACGCATACACATGTTCCTGCAGCGCTTCACAATGAACACACTCTGACTGACAGATAAACAATTTTAAGAAGCGCACACTCAAACTTGGGGGTGAAAAAAAGAAATCTTTTATTTTACAAGGCTTTTATTTTTGTGCAATTCCTCTTAGACAAACATCACACAAAYGGCTTACAATCCTCTGCCTCTTTACAACACCCCACCTTCGACAACTTGTGGAATGAGTGGGGAGTGTTCAAACAAAAAGACATAAATACACAACAAATACCACCTACAGCCAATAAAATATACATGGGAAAGTACGAGTGCCTTTACTGTCAGGATTAATAACACGCTATGAAAACACAGGAACTGACTGTCTTCCACAGGTGTGTCTCTGCATGACTTTTTTATTCCGCRTTTCTATTTTTGCAGTTGTTTGTGGCTGTTTGTGAGCTTGAGCACAATACAGGTAAACTTTAGGTCATGTAATGCGTCAGACAGATTTAGTTAAAATGCAAGAAAAGAAAAGCACTTGAAAAGGTTTTTTTTACAACTTTGTCGTAATACATGCACGATTTCCTAAAATAAAATGGCTTTTACATCATCARCTATTGAGGAAAAATTGAACAAAATGATGGGACTCGACTGAGATTCCTAAATGTCCCGGTACAAAATGTTCCAGTTGTCAAAATTAATGCGCTCAGATTTTAGAGGCACAAAGCCTTGATATATTAGATCCCAATAACTCTTTCCCCGTACTCCTGCCTTTGTTCGCTCTCTCTCTCTGATCTGTAATTGAAAAAGCATTCCATTTTTTATTTTTCTTCGCTATCCAAAGGCTAAATCCAAAACACCAGCCAAGAGGTGAGCCTGGTCAACTGGCACCCACAGGCACTCTCTCCTTCTTTCTCTTCATCACAGACGCACGCACGCACACACGCAAACACACATACCTGACTGCCGTGCTTCAATAAACTGTAAATTCCTCCTCTGCACCCACCATACCCAAAGCTAACCCTTTAAAAGTCACCCGCCTCCACCTTGTAATGCATGAACACACTCACGCAGACATGCACATACATACTTACCCACCGTCGCACACAACAGACAAGCCCCAACACACACACACACACACACACATACAAAAAAAAAAAACAATGTGGCTTAGTGGATGGTATCAAATTTAGTGGCCACGGGGATCTTACTGGGGTCATAAATCTATATCTAACATGTGAGAAAATCTCTACATGAATATCTGGAGACGGAGAGACAGACAGCAGGATACAGAGGGGGAGACACAAAGGGGAGAAAAAAATAGGCAGAAAGCAAAATGAGAGGCTTGTGGAGAGGAGAGCTGCAGACAAACAGAACGACTGGGACACAGGGGCTTGAGTGAGTCGAAGCAAGAAATAAACAAACACATGCAAGATGGTAGAAAGATGAAGTAGGGAAACAGGCGACTGTGTACATCCCGGGCCAGAAGAAGTAAGAAAGGATAAAGATAAATCAGCAGAGGGTCTGTAKGACATACAGTATATAGGTTAGGAGATGAAGGACGGCTGAGAGACAGACAGACAGACAGACAGGACTCCTCTGTCTCTAACAATACMTCTTCATGTGGTGCCCAGCTTAGCAGGCGAGCTGCTTAAATCAGGAATGTGGAATGTGAGATTTCAGACTTGGAAGTGATAGCTACTGTCTGTGTGTAATTTTAGGTTGCAGGAGTGTGAATGACTACAACTGTTTAATCAGATCATTAGAAAACTGATCCATCTTATACTCACTTTGTCATATAGGGTTGTGGTGGAGCAGGAAACATCCTAAACAACAGTCCACGGTGTTAACTTGGAAACAGAAACTATGACTTTTAAATTGTACTTTGATCTGTTTAGTGTGAAAGGGATCCATGATTAGTTGTAACATTAGACTTTATTTAATAAGCATATATTTTAAATGTAAAATAAAGACTGTAAAAATACTGTAGGATGTTCATTTTGTATCATTTTTAAACTAAAAGTTAAAAAATATGTTACACGGACGGGGCCATTTTATTTACACACAATGGGCCTCATGCAAGAACCGTTCGTACGCACAGATTTGTTCTTAATTTGTGCGTACGAGTGATTTAGGAGAATTTGTGGCATTCACCAATGCCAATGGGGGGGGGTGCATGGTGCGCAGCGCTGCGGCTTCTGAATAAATGAAAATGATTTAACACAGTTGTTTATACTTTTAGCAGCTCTTCTTATCCCGCAGCTGAGCTGCTAAACATATCAGATTTTCTTTTCTGGATCTCTGACAGACGGACTTCAATCTCTGAACTCGTAAAGTTTTTATTTTTTCAGTTTTCGCTGTAATTTTCATGAATGAATGGACACTTCCTTGTATCTGAGGCAGGAATCATAGCCTTATATGGTGTATTTGGGGGAGGTACACTTCGCTGCAGCATGCAGCTCGGGGCGGTGACAGACCTTTCCGTCGGTGCCATACCT